AACAGCAGTGGCACCAGCCTGTTCTATACACTCTTCTGCCACGTACTTTGGTCAGCATTGTGTTTTTGAGATTTTTCCACAGTGAATCTCTTAGTTCAAGATTCTATTACAGCTGGGCATGGTGGTGCACACCTCACTCCAGTACTTGGGGGGAGACCGATGCAGGAGGGTTGCTGAGAGTTCAAGGCCAGTCTGAACTGTATAGCAAGACCCTGTCTCCAAAAAAAAAAAAAAAAAAAAAAAAAAAGGCATTGCACAATCACATTGCAATTTATTGGTTCCTTCTAAGAACACACATGTAGGCACTCCACTTACACACAGCACTGCAGTAAACCCGTGGGTCCATCCCCTGCACTGGGAGATCTTCGGGAATCTTGGTTAAACCAAAGTGAGTGCACACATGCAGCTTTATTCAATGTAGCCAGATCATCTCCTCCTACCCTGCCTGCTTGAGAACTGAGTTACTTCACATTCTTCAACTCTTTGTTGTGTTTTTGGCTCCCTTGAACTCACAGCAATCCTCCTGCTTCAGCCTCCCAAGAATGCTGCCTTTACAAGCATTTGCCACTATGTCTGGCTTCAGCTCTTGAACACGTTCAGGATGCTGGGATACATCCTAAATTTGGGGGCAGAACCTAGCGATAGAACCCTGGCTGAGGCATGCAGTAGGTCCTCGGTTCCATCACTGCAAGAAAAAGCCATTTTTGTTATGTTTGTGAATATGATGAATGAAAACTCATTTCTCTTTCTTGTTGGAATTTTCTTTCCCCTAATCACTGATGAAGTTTTAGGTAAAACATCCGTTCAAGTTATTTAGCCATTTAAGGTCCAATTTACCTGTAACCTTTGACCATTTATCTTGTGAGTGTTTTGCCTTTTATTGATTTGTTTTGTTTTGGTTTTTGAGACAGGGTCTCACTATGCAGTTCAGGCTGCCCTTGAGTATACCCTTGAGCCCAGGATGGTCTCCAACTTGCAGCAATCCTCCTGCCTCAGCCTCCTGAGTGCCGGGATTATAGGTGAGCACCACCACTTAGGTGTCAATTTTCATATATCTTTTATTTTCTAAGAAAATATCCATTTCACCTAAGTTTTAAATTTATTGCCATAAAATTACATCTAGTGAGGTCCAGATGAGGTGGTACACATCTGGAGTCCCAGCTAGTTGGGAGGCTGAGACAGGAAGGCTGCTTGAGCTTAGCAGTTCCAGGCCAGCCTGGCAACACAGCAATCTGAACCCACACCAAACTAACCAAAAGCATGCTTCTATTTTAAAATCTCTTCTGTGTCTATATTTCTTTTTGTTCTTTGCATTCTATGTGCCTTAACTTTATTTTCTTGGTCTGTCAGAAGTTTGTCTGTCTTATAGCTTATTCAAGAAAAGGCTTTTTGCTGGGGATATAGCTCAGTGCACAGCTCCTGCCCATCAGGCATGAGGTCATGAGTTCAATCCCTGGTATCAAAAAAAAAAAAAAAAAAGGCTTCTTTGGTGGGGGGTACCTGGAATCGAACTCAGGACCTTACACTTGCCAGGCAGGTGCTTATACCACTGAGATATAATCCCCTGCTCTTGCTAGTTTATTCAAAGAACTAGCTTTTAGCTTTGTGTTTTAGTTTTATGTTTCATTAATTTATATTTTGTCTTTATTTTCTTGCCTACATTATTGATGCAGTTCATGCAGACTTCTAATCACCATTTTTTAACTCTGAGCTTTTATTGGCACCTTGTCCCAAGACACCTCGCTCCTGCTGCCTAGCATTCAATGTCCTTGGCTCCGCGTACTACTTTGCTGCCCACCATGTGCAGGTAGTGGCCCTCTGAATGGCTTTCAAAAAGTAACTGCTGTCCAGGGGGCAGTAGGTGACAGTTGGTGGCAATCTCAGCCCCAAGTCTGACCATGCTGTTCAGCAGGGCCTCCTCCTACTCATCCGGCTGGCACTTCCTGCTCTGTCTTGGTCTGTCAGCTCCAACCCCAGACACAGAAGCCCTGTGGAGTGTCCCCTCTGCATGTCACAGTGGGCCACAACCTCCCTCTCGTTGTTCTCCATGCTGACCAGATTTCTCATGAGCTCAAAGTGTGCTCCAGCTTCTTCACAGCTCCAACTTCAGGAGACTGAGCTGACAGCCGTGGTGCTTTCCTAAATCTGCTGGGACCAGTACTGGTCCTACTCCCTTAGGTTCTTCTGAGCCAGCTTGTCATAGTGGTCACAGATGTCCACCATGGCCTCGATGAGGTCCTGACATGTTCTGGTATCTGCTGCCATGGCCAACCAGAGCTGGCCATCTGGGCTGAGAGGCTGTTGACTTTCTCCTCGTGGTTCTTTGTTAGGCATCAGCTTCTCCTTACAAGCCCCACTTTCCACCTCTAGCTGCAGTCAAGTGACACTGACCCTGCAGTCCCTCCTTCTCCACAGATGGTGTACAGTCAACTCCTTCTTATACTTGACTATAAAGTCATCAGCAGCAACAAGTGTTGTCAGTCTGCAGAGTGACGCAGCCACCTGTCCACAGAATTTGTAAAAACCCGAGCCCTCAGCTCCTCGACAGTCTTGAAGTATTACCCCTGGTCTCTTCCATGGGACCTTCCTCCTCCAGATGTTCCAGATGTTCCTCTTTGGACTCTAATTATCAGTGTCTGGCTTCTTAAGTCTGTCCACGCGGGAGGCCAGGTGGTCACTCAGGTGATGCATGGTCCTTGTCACCTGAATATTACCCATTTGTGCCTCCTCCTGGACCACAGCCACCATGAAACCTGGAAGACCAGGATATGGAAATCCAGGACTTGCAGTCCTTGGTGTCCCCAGACACTAGCCATGCTGCTGGCCAGCTGAATTGAGTGGTGGATCCAGTGGCAAAGCTCATGCTGTCCAGGACTCAGGTCTAGGCTACCAGTAGCCACTGTTTTTTTTTTTTGTTTTTTTTTTTTTTTTTGTAGCAGGGATTGAACTCATGACCTCAGGCTTGCCAGGCAAGTGCTGTGCCACTGAGCCATATCTCTGGCCCCAGTAGGCACTTTTGATGCTGGGGATGTGTGGAGAACCACTCAGGCTGCTTCAAAGCTCAGGTCCCTTGAGAACACCTGAGGACGTGACCTTGCTTGTCTAGCGCAGGTGCACAATGGGATACAGCTATGTAACCATGACTTAGCACAGGTAAACACACATGTGCTGGTTACAGCATTATGTAAGAATGTAAACATGAGATAACAACCCATATAAAAGTTATACAATAAAGATGCAGATGGATCTGCCCTGCTCCATGCTGCCTGCTGCTGTTGCCGATGTCATGCACACCTGCGTTCTTCAATCTTGGGACCTCACTCCGCCCCCACCCCACAGCCGACAAAGGATGGCACCAGGGCTCACACATGCTAGACAAGCGCTCTATCACCCCAACCCTTTTTATTTTATTTTTAGAGTCAAGGTCTTGTGGACCCGGGCAACACCAAATTTTCAATCCTCTACCGAACCTCATTACTTAGTTGTGCACCATTATAGCTGGCCGATTGTCTTTACTGTAAAGTGTACACTAAAACGGTGGCAAACACCTGTAATCCCAGCACTTTGAGAGGCTGAGGCAGCCGGGTGTGGTGGCTCACGCCTGTAACCCCAGCACTCGGGAGGCTGAGGCAGGAGGATCCTTGCGAGTTCGAGACCAGCCTGGGCTACAAAGTGAACTCAAGGCCAGCCTGAACTGCATATCAAGACCCTGTCTCAAAAAGACAAAAAAAAAAAAAAAAAAAAAAGAGAGAGAGAGAGAGAAGCTGAGGCAAGAGGGTCTCAAATTTGAGCCCAGCATGGGGAAATTAGCAGCTGAGCTAAGATGGCTTTATCGGGGAGCCAACTCAACAACTTATTACAAGCTGAACCGGTCAGGTCAACAGGTAACAGGTAGTGTGTGTGTGTGTGTGTGTGTGTGTGTGTGTGTGAAGTCAACAGTTTGGGGATTGAGCAGGTCTTGATTAGCTTCCGGAATCCCTTTTCCCACGTTTAAAACGGCGATAGCACCACCTAGCTGATATACTTTGATGAGTGATGGTTAAATGCGATGACGAAGGAAAACGCAAGGCACAGACGGCGGTGAATTAGCTCCACCCAGTTAATGACAGTTCGCTGCGACACAGGACGAAATAGGCAGCCCAGGATCAGTGGGGCCGTGGCCATGGGCCAGGACGGAACAAGGCAAGACCAGCAAAACCGCAAAATACAGAGAGAGGTGCACGTAGGCGGCGTAGGGTTAGTGGACCGGCAGGAATCAAGGCTCAGCATTCGCGCAGCCACCGGATCACCTGACTGCTCCTCTCTTTCGGAGCACCGCAAACGGTCCTCCAGGCCGCACAGAGACCACCCGCCTACGAACTCCGCTCTCCTCTTAGCCAGCGAGGAAACGATGTCTACCGCCCTTAGCAACCACTCACTACTTTTCCTGTTTCTATAGGCCAGTAAATTTCCTTTCTTCCTTTAATTGGTCCGCGTAACTTTATCGCAACCAATCAGTGGCAGCCACGGGATTCAACTCACTCCCACATAATTTGGTGGAGGGAGGGAAATGGAGGAGACAAATTTTTGTTTTCTGCCTCCGGTTCTCCCAGAGGGTCAGTTCTGTATCGGACTGCTGAATGTCCCTGCAGAGAAGCTCTAAAGCATTTTATATGCTTTTGGCCTATTGTAAAGCCTGACTCTTGCACGCTACCCTCTCCAAGTGGCACGGGCCACAGAACGTTCCACCTTCCAGCTGTTTTGAGCCGGAGTCCGGGTTGGTTGAGTCCACCTAGCCGTAGAGACCATACCATCCGTCACTAATAAGTAGGGGTTTCCAATCCTCCTAAATCGCCCTATTCCGTACCGACCGCCACTTGCATCTCTCGCTCTGTCATTCTCCAAGGACACGAGTCCCAGAACTTGCAGTAAAACTACTGTTCCTGGCACGAGGCAGGGCACGCGGTGCCAGAGCAGGCAGGACGCGCTTGGTACCGTCCACGCCGCGCCCCGCGCCGCCGGAAGTGAGGTGTCTTACCCTCCAACTTCCGGTTCGCAGGGGGTGGGGAGTGTTGTTAACCGTAGCGGTTGCGGCAGTCGCTGGGATTGAGCCGGCTCGCGGCGTTGGGCTCCTGGTGAGTCAGGCCAGGCCAGGCGAGGGTTGGGGTTGGGGCTCTTGTGGTCACCGGGATCAGCGCTCCCTTAGGTCCCGCCGCCTGCTTTGGGCCTGTCCAGCTGGCGGTGGACCTCAGGCGCTGGTCCGTCCACTCTTCCAGGAGCTGGGCCCCGCCTGCGGCGCTCCCAGCTCCTGGCGCTCACAGGTGCGAGGTCGACCTGGGTCCTTCCCCGTCCCGCCGCGACTGCGCCCTGCTGGCCAGCCGTTCTCTAGAGCCCCAAGTTGACACTACCCGTGGGTTGGGGCCACCGGGGTTCCAGATTGACGTTCTCCACTCGCCCGCCGAGCGCCCTCCGCGCCCACCCTCCCGCCACAACTGTCACCAAGCGCTGCGCCCCTTGGGCGTCTGTCATCCCTGGCCGTTGGTTCCGGCTCCTGGAGCCGACTTTGTTTTGCGTCCCGCCCCCAGCACCTCCATTCCAGGGTCAGCAGTGGCTGGCAGTCCCCTGCCTCCTCCAGCACTGCTGCTTTTCCTCGTGGCCTCCCTAGAGGAGACTGCTTGGCAGACAGCATGGAAAGAGCCCTAGATTTGAAGCAGGGCTGGCCCAGGTTCCCGGCCTTGTTAGGCCTTGCATCAGTGTGACCACTTATCCCCTTTGGGGCCGTTTCTTATTTGCCAAAGAGGGAAACACGTATTGTTCTTGATCTGATGATTGTGAAGTGAGCTTTTATGCCCTCTGCCACTGACGCTGTGCCAGGCATCGTGCTAGCTTTGCACAGGATGGCAATGCCATACGGTGTCCTCCTCTCCTTGCCTAGGTTTCCAGGCCAGGGCAATGTTCCGCACCGCAGTGATGATGGCGGCTAGCCTGGCGCTGACCGGGGCCGTGGTAGCTCATGCCTACTACCTCAAACACCAGTTTTACCCCACGGTGGTGTACTTGACCAAGTCCAGCCCCAGCATGGCAGTGAGTTTGGGCTTAGGGAAGGAGGAGCTTCTTGGGAGGGAAGGAGGAGCCTGTCGGGGGCAGGGGCCGGTCTACAGGTCAGGTAAGTGGGCCAGAAGAGCCAGTAGCTGCCAAACTTTGATGAGGACTTGGGGAGGTTCCTGCGTGATAAGGGCCACGCAGAAGAAAGAAGAAGGTGACCTCAAGCTAGAACTAGAGCTTTTCCTCACTCCCAGGTCCTGTACATCCAGGCCTTTGTCCTTGTCTTCCTCTTGGGCAAGGTGATGGGCAAGGTGTTCTTTGGGCAGCTGAGAGCAGCAGAGATGGAGGTAAGATGTTGGAGACTCCGAGTGAGGCACAGGGCACTGGCAAGCAGAATGTCTTGGTTCTATGTCTGCTGTTGCTCAACCTCCAGCATCTTTTGGAACGTTCCTGGTATGCTGTCACCGAGACATGTCTGGCCTTCACTGTTTTTCGGGATGACTTCAGCCCCCGCTTTGTTGCGCTCTTCACTCTCCTCCTCTTCCTCAAGTGTTTCCACTGGCTGGCTGAGGACCGTGTGGACTTTGTGAGTTGGACGTGGCTGGTGGGCAGCCTTGAGCAGTGAGGGTGGGGTTGGGGACATGGGGTGACCCGGCTTTCCTGATGGGGCCCCTCTCTGCCCTGCCTCAGATGGAACGCAGCCCCAATATCTCTTGGCTCTTTCACTGCCGCATCGTCTGTGAGTGAGACTCATGGTGGGAGGGGGCTTGCTGGAGGGAGGAGAGGTGCTATGATAGATTGCAGTGTGAAAAGTTGCTAACCGTGGGCCCATACCCCAGAGCACAAGCTGCCCCTCAGTCCACAGCTGTGCAGGAAAGATAATTTAGGAAGTTAATTTGCATTGTCTCTGCCCTGTTCCACTCCAGAATGTCTCAGCTGCCTGGGCCCCCAGCTCTCTGCCTCCTCACCTGGAGCCCTGTTCACCCCACCCCCACCTCTAACTGGGGTTCCCAAAGGCCAAGGCAGTGGAGTGTGTCCACCAGAGTAGATGGCTAGGGCCATGGTTGTTGTGGGCTTGAGTGTGGCGCAGAAAGTGATGGTGGGACTGTGGGTTAACCCCACCCACCCCGTGTGGGGTCCCCACAGCCCTTATGTTCCTCCTGGGTATCCTGGACTTCCTCTTCGTCAGCCATGCCTATCACAGCATCCTGACCCGTGGGGCCTCTGTGCAGCTGGTGTTTGGCTTTGAGGTAAAACTGGCTTGGGAGTTTGAGGGACAAGCCTGAGGTGGCATTGCATGTGCCTTGAATAACCCAGCAAGCCCTTACTAGCACCTGCTCTAGGGCCACCCTGTGCTGGCCACCAGGGAGCAGCAGTCAGTCAGGTCTGGCCCCCTCACACACTCCTTTGGGGACTGCTAGCTATTGGGCTCACAGGGGCGGGTGTGGAGCTGCCCCCACCTGGGGCTCAGGGAAGGCTTTCTGGAAGCTGATGCCAGAGCTGGTGATAGATGGAGAGATGGACACAGAGGAGAGAATTAGCTGGCTGGACCAGCAGGGAGGCTTTTACCAGACAGGAGGACAGTGCTGAGTTACAGCAGCTCACAGTGCTGGGTGCTTACCACTTGCCGACCTGTGCTGGGCTCCGTCAGTTGGACAGCACTGCTATAAAGGAAGCTGACCCTGCATTTCACCAATGAGCAAACCGAGGCGGAGTGACTTTGGCCTGCAGTCAGCATCACTGAGGGAGGGGATGGGAGCCCTGGCAGCACAGACAGCCTGTGCTGAGGCCAGGAGAGAGGTAGCTGATGTGCAGGCCTCCTGTGCTCTCTCCACCCAGTATGCCATCCTGATGACCATGGTGCTCACCATCTTCATCAAGTATGTGCTGCACTCTGTGGACCTCCAGAGCGAGAACCCCTGGGACAACAAGGCCGTGTACATGCTCTACACAGAGCTGTTCACAGGTGAGGGCACCCAGGGCCTCGTCTGAGCAGATGGGCTCTGCACTCTGGCTGCTGGAACCTGTAACCTGCTCCCTCCTGCCCCAAGGCTTCATCAAGGTCCTGCTGTACATGGCCTTCATGACCATCATGATCAAGGTGCACACCTTCCCGCTCTTCGCCATCCGGCCCATGTACCTGGCCATGAGGTGAGCCTGGCCCCATGCTTCCCCTCTCCCTGCCTGCCCTTCTTCTCCTCTTCCTGCATTCACCGACTGTTCTTCCAGGCAGTTCAAGAAAGCTGTGACAGATGCCATCATGTCACGCCGGGCCATCCGCAACATGAACACACTGTAAGTGGCCTTGTCATAGCTACTGTCCCGAACCCTGTCCTAGGTCCCCTCGATTCCAGCTCTGGTCCTGACACACACTCCACATCCTAACAGGTACCCAGACGCCACCCCCGAGGAGCTGCAGGCAATGGACAATGTCTGTATCATCTGCCGAGAAGAGATGGTGACCAGCGCCAAGAGACTGCCCTGCAACCACATCTTCCACACCAGGTGGGTGGGGCCCGGGAGTCTGTGTGCCCAGGCACAAGGCCCAAGGGAGGTGCTGACCACTGCCTGGCCTTGTCCCCCAGCTGCCTGCGCTCCTGGTTCCAGAGGCAGCAGACCTGCCCTACCTGCCGTATGGATGTCCTGCGGGCATCACTGCCAGCCCAATCACCACCACCCCCTGAGCCCGCGGATCAGGGGCCACCCCCTGCCCCACACCCCCCACCACTCATGCCCCAGCCCCCTAACTGTGAGTGCCCTCCTCTTAGTCACCCACCACCCTGTCGGGTACTTGCCTGGGCCGGGCGTGGGAGATCCTGGGGGGATCCAAGTCATATCTTACAGTCGGGGCCAAGGAGAGTAAAAAGATGAAATTGCCAGTTGTAATTGCCATGAGCAGGTGGTCAGAGGCCTTGGGAGCAGAAGACAAGCTCTTGGCAGTGGAGCCCCTGCCTGCACGTGGGGTCCGGTTCAGCTCGGCCCTCCTCTAATAGCTTGTCCTCTCTACAGTCCCCCAGGGCCTCCTGCCTCCTTTTCCTCCAGGCATGTTCCCCCTGTGGCCCCCTGTGGCCCCCTTCCCACCTGTCCCACCTCCCCCAAGCTCAGGAGAGGCTGCAGCACCACCATCCACCAGTGCAGGTGACCTTCTGGGTAATGTGGCAGAGGGTGGGAGCGGGAGGCAGAGGCAGAGGGACCAGGATGGCCCTATGCCACTCTGACCTGGTGTTGTGCTCTTCTGCAGCCCTCTCTAGGCCAAGTGGAACAGCCACAACTACACCTGCTGGCACCAGTGCCTCTGCCCCAGCCCCAGAGGCTGCCCCTGCCTCAGGCTTCCCCTTCCCACCCCCCTGGATGGGCATGCCCCTGCCTCCACCCTTTGGTAAGCTGAGCACGCTGGGGTGTCCTAGAGGGCGGACAGGCAGGCAGGGGTGCCTGATGGCTCAGGTAGCCCCAACTTACCTCCCCCTACCCCCAGCATTCCCCCCTATGCCTGTGCCCCCTGCGGGCTTCGCTGGGTTGACCCCAGAGGAGCTTCGGGCGCTGGAAGGCCATGAGCAGCAGCACCTAGAGGCCCGGCTGCAGAGCCTTCGCAACATCCACACACTGCTGGACGCCGCCATGCTGCAGATCAACCAGTACCTCACTGTGCTGGCCTCCTTGGGGTGCGTCTGCACGGGCACCATGGGTGGGCCTGCTGTTCCTGGCATTGGACTCCCCTGCAACCCTCACATCTGCTGACACTCAGGCCACCTATCTGCAGGGATATCAGTTTCAGGGAGCTCTTGGTTACTCCAGTGCCTTTATCCTTCCTCCCCAGGAAGCCTATCAGATGTTAGCAGAAGTGTTTATAGCTCATCTTCAATGTTATTCCTTTGTTTTTCTGAACTCCAATTACGAGGTGTGCGGAGGAGTTAGAGGTATACAGGAAAGCCCTGGTTTTATTCAGTTGTGGCACATGCCTGTCATTCCAGCACCTGGGAGGCTGATGCAGGAGGATCACTGTAAGTTCAAGGCAAGCTTGGACTATATAGCAAGACCCTTTCTCAAAGAAAACAAACAAAAAACAAGATAAAACCACCCTGGTTTTGATTCCCCGTATCACCCAAAAAGTAAACTCAAGCCCTTCCTAGTTTTTACTCAGAATTGCTCCTGACTTGAGTGGGCAATTAAAGAGTTCGAGTGCTAGCCCGACTTTTTTTGGTACTGAGACTCAAACTCAGGACTTCATGCTTGCCAGGCAGGCACTTGTGCTGCCAAGCTGTATCCCTGGCCCCACTGTTACTTGCTTTGGAACTTCCTTTACCTTGTGGGAGAGGGTAGCTCTAACTCCCACTCCCAGGTGACGTGCACAAAGCACCTGACCCCCGTGCAGCATGTAGGGACGCTGGCATCCAGGGCCTAAGCCTTCTGTGCCTTACTTGGGATAAGATCCAACCCCCAGTGGGGACTGCTAGGCAGTGGCAGAGGGCTCCGCAGACCCTGCCTACAAGTGATGGACAGTTCATAGGACAGATTCACTTGGTCCTAGAGGTGCCACCCTGTCCACATTTTTGCCTATTGATGACTGCAGCTATATGGGGCCCATCTCCTAGGATGCCAGGGACAGGCTGGATCTTGTCCCTTCTCTTGCCAGGCCCCCTCGCCCTGCCACTTCAGTCGGTCCCATGGAAGAGACTGGCTCCACAGCGGTCCCTGCCGCCGCCTCTACCAGCACCCCCAGCTCTGAGGCCACTACCCCATCCCCAGGAGCCTCCTCACCAGCCCAGGAAACTGAGAAACCTCCAGGTGAATGTGGTCAGCCTCAAGGGGTGGGGCGCGGGCCTCCCAGGGTTCCACTTCTGACTCCTCTGTCCCCAGCTCCAGAGTCGGTGGGTGCTGAGGAGCTACCTGAGGACGACGGAGAGCCAGATGCTGCAGAGCTCCGCCGGCGCCGCCTGCAGAAACTCAAGTCCCCTGTTAACCACTGACACTGCCCCAGCCCTGTCCCCGCTCTCCTGAGCAGCCCTCACCGGAACACATCCTGCCACCAAGTGCCAGCTCCCGATGTCTGTACCAGGGAGTCGTAAGCCCAGCTATGAGGAAGAGGTGGCGGCATTCCTGAGGCCAGGTGGAAAGAATGCTGTTGCCATTTGGCCTGGCAGCCACAGGGGTGCTGGTCCCTTTCAGCCAGCTGTCCCCATCTCGACAGCACGCACTGTGCTGTGACCCAGGGGTCAGTGCTATAAAGGCAGTAGGTTTGGCCTGCAAGACCCTCTGCTTCCCCCTTTTCCAGGTGGAAGGGCAGCCCTTTCTAGCCCTATCTGTATGTGGGGGGGGGGGGGGTCACGCTGCGGCGCCAAACAGTATTAGCTCCCAACCCCACATGTGGATCCTGGAAGGGCTGGGGGCAGGCTGGGAACCTGCTGTGGCCCTCTCTGCCAAGACTGGTACCAACTTCCCCTTCTTAACCCAATCTTCCCAGAAGCCCCTTGTGATGGCTGTGCCCCCGTGCCCTCTGGCATTTCCACATCTTACTGGCAACCATACAACTCAGGGAAAGGAGTGCCTGGGGGTGGGGGGCAGGCGGGCAGCACTGAGGGACCCTGCCCTGCCCCTCCCCCAGACCCTTTCCCAGCAGCTTTCTTCCCAGCAGCCACTGCCCAGCTGCACAGGGCTGAGGGCCGGCGTGCTGCTCCTGGCTGACACTGCAGTGTGGAGCCCAGGAAGGCCGCAGGCTCAGAGGCAGGGTTTCTCTTGAGCCAGGATTGGAACTACTTTCTCACCTAGGGTCTTCTGGCTTAAATCAGTCTTTTGAATTTGAATGCTTGATCCCAGAAAGAGCAGCAGGAGCTGGGGCTCCTGGTTTTTCTAGTTTAGAACAAGCTCTGGGACAGGAATAACCGAGGGAGCTAAGGTCTGCCCACCCATCTTTCTTTCCCTCAGTTTTGTGTTACAAGAGTTGCTGGAAAGTTTCAGATGATTATTTAATTTGTAAATACTGTACAAATTTTAATAGCTTAAATTGTATATACAGCCAAATAAAAACTTGCATTAACAATTGGGCTTGTGTCGGATCAGGGTCCAGTGCCTCTTCCTGGCATAGGCTGTGGGTCTGCAAATGGCCTAGAATCTCCAGGAGTGAGGACATGGTTGATTATTAAGCAAGTAGGAAAGCAGCCATTTTTCATAGTGAGAAACAGTCTCAGAGAGGCTTAGTACCCCATCTTGGGTCAGAGATTAAGCAGGGCAGCCAGGATCTGAATGCCGTCTGGGCCAGTTGTACAGTGGGGTGGGGCCTTTAGTGATCGTGCTCCAGGGTGGGCAAGTGTTCAGGCTACTTGGCCAAGGCCGAAATGACCCATCAAGCCTCTACCATATCAGGCCCCCTACGTGGGAAGGCTCAGCCCAAGGGCTTCAAGGAGCCCCCAGTTCCCCCTTGTGGCCAGGCCAGCCAGCGCTAATCCCTTAACTCCTGAAGCTAGAGAAGCACCCAGTGTGGCTTGCTGTGACACAGGAAGCTAAGAGGCCACTTCCCTCTCAGTGAGGCTGTCACCGTGGCACTCTACTCCAGTGCCCAGCACTGCACTTGGCACTCAGGCTCTTCCCTGAGTCATTGTGTTAGAATCTCTTCCAAGCCAGGTTTGGCCTAGAGCAAGGTCTCAGGGAGGAGGAACCCTCCCCTTACCAGGCTGGGCCTTTGCTTCTAGGATATCCTCTAGATTTGAATAAACCCAAGGTCCTCCCATCCCTGAGCAGGCCACACTGACAGGAAGCACAGCAGTTAATGCCCCGCTACTACCTTGGCTGGGTCTCCCACGCTGGGCAGCTCTCCCCAAATGGACTATACACTGGGGCCCATTTCCCCTTTACACATGATCTAACTCCAGTTAGCCTTTACTCTAACCTGCCCAAACCCTCAACCATGGTCACTGTATCCTTCCCCGGGGCTCCAATACCCACTTCCTTCCTCCCAAGGTACCCTGGGCTCATCTGTCCACGCAGGCTGCTCAGTAGACCTCAGAAGCCCTTTTCGAGGAGCCAGGCTTTGAGCTGCTCATCAAAGTAGCCCTTGACCCGCAAGGTACCTGTCACCTCATTAACTTGGGTGACAGGCGTCTTCCCCAGTAGTGAGCTCAAAAACTCTTCCACGTCCTTCTGCAGGGCCTGGGGAAAGATGACAGATAAGGCCAATCTGTCTTTCTGGAGGACCCTGCCTCCCCCCCCCCCCCCCCGCACACTTACCCAGATATCGCCCTCCACTTTCCGGATCACAGTCATGTGGCGGTTGCCATGTGTAATGTCTTTGTAGACAGGGAGGTTGTGCATTCGGGAGCGTCTCACGATGTAGGGCAGGTTGGGTGGGGGATCTGTGACAGGGAAGAACAGTGACAAATCAACTCCTAGGTCTCATCCCACCTCAGCCAAGGCCCTGCCCCTCACAAAGCCAGCAGAGGATTACTGCATCCAATTAGACCAGGGCACCTTTAGATTTCAGGTCGGGGCACCTCACCTTCAATCTAAAGTCAAGACTGAGCTGTTCAGTCTGGCATCCCGCATAAGGCCTGGTACCAAATACCAGACCTACTCAACAAGTCAGGGCCGTGGCTCCCTTGGTGTCTGGGTCCCCCTCTGAGGCCAACTGTTACCCTTTCCTACTGGGCTAGAGAGGGTGAGGTCAATTTCTAGAACAAAAGGACAGGAGTTTTCAAACACCAAACACCTACCATACACTAGGCTCAGTTCTGTTCTATTCCCACTTTACTGAAACTGAACAGCAGAACCAAATCCAAACTCCCAATTACCTGACTCCCACCCTATATTCTCAATTATGGCACACAGTCTGGTGAGGAACTCTATGCATATGAGTCCCCTCTTTATGCTTCATTTTTGCCATACGTGAACCCCCACACCAACACTATGGCTGGACAGGTACCAGTGAAATTAAGGGCTCCACTCCTGAGCCCTTGCTTGGGCTTGAAGCAGTTCTAAAGTTAAGGGCATCATGAGTCTGAACCTCATGGGCAGGCTGACTTCGGGGGAGAGGAGTGCTCCCTGCAGCCTCTCAACCATCCCCATTCCCAGCTCACCTCTGGGAGGCTGCCAGCCACTAGGAGTGGGATAATGTTCATGCTTTGGTGGCTTTGGGATCCCGGTGGGGGGTAATAGGCGGTCCACGAACTGGAACTCATCTGTGGACTCCACAAAGCCCCGGTAATCAGGAGGCCCCTGCGTTTGGCTCTGAAGCAAAGCAAACCAACCAACCAGCTGACTCACTCAACAGAAGAGAAATTTAGCAAAGAAAAGAAACAGGGCAGAGAAAACAGCATAAATAAAAGACTTGACCCAGAGGGAAGTGTGCAGGTGGCACTAGGAAAGATGTTCAAGCACTCTTAAACAACACAGGTGTCTCAGAATTTCTGTCAGGCACAAATGACATAAAATGTATTTTTTTAATTTATGAAACAATATTTTTTTACAGTTCTAGGAGCTGGAAAGTTCAAGATCAAGATGCTAACATCTGGTGAGGATCCTTGCCTTGTACCTTTCGCAAGCTAAAAACACTCTAAGTCAAAAGTGCATTTAATGCACCTCATTTCCTGAACATCTGGTTTGCCCAGTCAACCTTCAGCACGCTCACAGCACTTAATATGTGCCTACAGCTGTGCAAAATCATCGAACCCAAAGCTTATTTTACACTAAAGTATTGAGCATCTTGTGTAATTTATACCATAGCAAAACTGTAACCTGGAGAGTACTTATTGTTTACCTTCTTGACTGCAAGGCTGACCGTGTCAAATTACAAATTTTAACCAATGATAATTTCCCACTCAGATTCATACAATGGGACCCAGGCAGCCAAAGTCCAATATGCAACTCCGATTAGTCCTGATTGACGCGGAGCTTTCCTGCAGCCACTCCCTGACCTTCACTCCACCCCACTCCCTCCAAGCGCACTCCGGAATCTGCCACCTACGTACTCTTCAGGCCAGTGCCACGGATCAGGAAAAAAAAGACCCTATGTGCAAATGTAGGTTTCAGGATTACAATGACTATCACGAACCCCCATATCCCGCCTCTTTTCTCACCCCTCAACCCCTCTCCAAGCTCTGGACTCTCACCAGCTGCCGCAGTCCGCAGCCCCAACTGCTGCCAGTCCTCCAGCACCGGAGAGAAGCACGGTACACGGCCGCCGCCATCTTGGACTACCCCCAACGCTAGCATTCTGCGCGCTCAACGGGCTTAGTCCCACCCATTCCTCCGCGCACCGCCCAAAACCAAAGGACGCCTGCGCAAAAGTGTGTAGAGGCGAGGTTAGGGCGGCGGTGGGCGGTACAAATAAAAGAAAACCTCGCGGTCGCTCAGTAGTGACGTAACGCGTAGCAGTCGGCGAGGGCGTGCGCGCTCTCGCTTCTTCCTCTTTCTGGACTCCATCTTCGCGGTAGTATCTCCTGTGTCAGCGGTTCAGGTGAGATTTGTATTACAGCTGGATTTAGAGGGCTTGGTGGCATTCTGGCACCCTGGTCAGAGACTGCGGAGATCCAGGCTCAGGAGCTGCTTTGTGGCTCTGGCTCCGGTGCCTAACGGAATTCCCCAGCAAGCGCTGCCTTTCCCACGTGAGGCACCGCGGCTGGCTCCATCCCGGCGGGATCGTTTGTGGGCCGCTTCTCCCATTTCCAGACCCCCTTTTTTGCCCTTTTCTTAAAGCCAGCTTTCTTTTCCTAGTCCTCAACATGCAGCTCTTTGTCCGCGCCCAGGACCTACACACTCTCGAAGTGACGGGCCAGGAGACGGTCGCCCAGATCAAGGTACGGTTGCGTGTTCCGCGCTCTAATATTCCTTGTTCTCGTGTCCCGCGGAGACGCTTCCAAGAGCTGTTTTTCCCTCTGTAGGCTCATGTGGCCTCACTGGAGGGCATCGCACCGGAAGATCAAGTTGTGCTGTTGGCCGGCAAGCCGCTGGAGGATGAGGCCACCCTGGGCCAGTGTGGCGTGGAAGCCCTGACCACTCTGGAAGTAGCTGGCCGCATGCTTGGAGGTGAGTGGAAGAAGTGATGTTTTCAGATGGCTTCATCTAATGAGCGTGGGTTACATACCTCTGGCAGCTCAGTCCTTTTTAAAAATTTTTTTGTTCGTTTTTCGAGATAAGGTCTGGCTGTGTAGGCCAGGATTGCCTCAGACTGGCAGTGATCCTCCTGCCGTAGCCTCCAAGTGTTGGAATTTAGAGGCCTGTGCGCCCACACCCAACCCAGCTGTCATTTATGAGATAACACACTTAGTGCCGTCTGGAGATTCTCAATCCAGAGTGATTCTAGTCTCTTACTAGGCAGGTTCTAATTTCCCTACTAAATCCAGATCAGACCAGATCTCCCAGATGCTTTTCATTTTGTTAAACAAGGAGCTAGCAGGTATGTCTCCTATCAGCCTGGGAGACTGAAGCAGGAAAATCTCACACAAGTTGAATCCAACCCAAGCAATGTAATGATTTAGATCCTGTCTCAATTTTTTTTTTTTTTTTTTAATCAGTACCGGGGATCGAACTCATGACTGCCTGCTTGCAAGGCAGGTGCTTATGCCGCTGAGCTAAATCCCCAGCCCAATCCTGTCTCAAAATTTTAAAAAGGACTGGGTATATGACTCAATAGAAAGGCCCTGGGTTCAGCCGCTGCTGTGCAGCACCCCTCTCCGCCCTAAATCAGGAACTGGAAGCTTCTGAAGTAAAGCTTAGAGGTCAAATTTCTGCATCCTTGTTTCCTTCATTGTCAAGCCCCACATATTTTAGAAGTTTAGTTGAAGCTGAACAGAATGGCAAACTCCTGTAATTCTAGCAGGTAGGGAGGTGAGTACAGGAGAATGCAGTTTGAGGCCAGCCTGGCAATTTAGTGAAACTTTGTCTTGGAATAAAAAGAGCTTTTTGAGGGGGGGGGTCTTTTTGAGGCAGAGTCTCTATGCAGTTCAGGCTGGTCTAGAGCTCACTTTGTAGCCTAGGCTGGTCTCGAACTCACAGTGATCCTCCTGCCTCAGCCTCCCAAGTGTTGGGATTACAGACGTTAGCCACCACGCCTGGCTACCTATTATTTCTTACCTGCTGCTGTTTACTTTCCTACTACAGGTAAAGTCCATGGTTCCCTGGCTCGAGCTGGAAAAGTGAGAGGTCAGACTCCCAAGGTGAGTGAGAGGGTGCTGGTGTTTGGACCTTGTCGTTTGCTGGCACAATGAAGCTGAGACCTTTGGTTCCAGCCTACCCACTCACAGGAAGTTGGGGGAAGGCTGCCAGGCATGAGAGAGGTCAGCCAAAGTCTGATCAGCCATGCCTTTTCTCAGGTGGCCAAACAGGAGAAGAAGAAGAAGAAGACAGGCCGGGCCAAGCGTCGGATGCAATACAATCGGCGCTTCGTCAATGTAGTGCCCACCTTTGGCAAGAAGAAGGGCCCCAACGCCAACTCTTAAATCATATGTAATCCTGGCTTTCTGTAATAAAGCCACTTTGCCCAGGCAGCTCATCATTCTGTTTTCATTTGCAGGGCCTTGGCGGGTGGTGTGGCTTCCAGGGTTGTCAGTATGTCCCCTAAATCAGGGAAGTATGGAGAGAGTGGTGGTTTAGGAATCATTTGTAAACACTAGTCCTTAAGAGGTGGGGTTTGGCGTGTTCCCTGTCCCACACAACTTGGTAATTCCTCTTAAGTCCTCTCTCAGCTTCTAAACAGAAAAGACAGCAGGAGGTATGTACCGGCTGCAGAGTTGCCATGGAGTCTGTGAGAGAGGGAAGGAGGTGGCTTGAGTAGAAGATGAACCAAGGATCACTAGCCTGGTTATCAGTTATTTGAACCCAACCGTGTAACTCAGGTTGCTTGGGCAGCTTTGCTAAGTGACACCTATGATAAGTGTTTCCATTGTCCAGACAGGACTGTTGCAAGACCAGCTCAAGGTTTGCTCCTAACAGTTGCATCTTCCTGTATGTAGGAGATGTTTCTAAACCTCAAGGTTCTTCAAAGACAGAGTGTCATGGTGCTCTAGACTTGGGACAGCTGAGTTGTAATTTTATTTATTTTTAGTGAGGATAAATTAAAAGATGTAGCTTTGTTTTTTTGAGACAGGGTCTTGCTCTGCAGTTCAGGCAGGCCTTGAACTTTATGGCAGTCCTGCCTCAGCCACCCTTACGCTACTACACCCAAGTAAAAGTTGTAAAATGCAGTGTGAATGTTGGCTTTTTTTTGTCTCTAGTCTGAAGGGGTGTATGTTTCTGAGTGTTTGAGATAGGGTCTTGCTATGTAGTTCAGGCTGGTCTTGAATTCATAATCTGCCTGCCTCAGCCTCCCCAGTTCTGGATCGTGGTATGTGCTAGGACGTCTAGCTAATCTCTAGGTTTAGACATGATTCTAGCCATTTGAATTTTCTTTAAATTTTTAAACTGAGGCAGGAGGATGAAGAGTTCAAGGCCTGCCTAGGATACATGGTGCGAACTCTGTACCCCAAGCCAAAAAGTTTTTTTAATGAGTAGAAAGTTTTACCCAAGAGAACTGGCCAAAAACTGGAGCAAAAGTGATGAGATTTAGAAGAGCTGGGTGTCTTACCAAAAGCTGAGTGCACTGGGTATAGTGACACCCATCTATAATCCTAGTGCTCAAGAGGCTGAGGCAGGAGGATTGATGCAAGTTCAAAGCCAGCCTGAGCTACAGGAAGACAAGAGTCCCAAAAAAGCAAAAGCTGAGTGTGGAGCTCGACAGTTTGGGGCAGCACAAGAGTCTTTGGAGGAGGGAGGGCCATAAGGTCAGCAGGTCAGCATCCCTTTCGCCCTGGGCAGCACTGCCACTATGAGCTGCCGGGCTTGTACAAGGCAGAAAGGCTTCATCCGTGCTGGAGTGAAACGATTGGGTAAGGAAGGTGGACATGGAGCCTAGAGGACATGATGAGGCCTCCTCTTGAGCCTGTGGTTGCCCAGCAGCCTCCCCAGGAGGAGCCGTTTGCTGGAAGTTCAGGCTGGGACACCTGTCAGGAAAGGTGCAGGGAGACGGTCTGGGCACCGAAGGGAAAGGTCTGCTGAGATTAGGCATAATCAGAGGAGCCACCATAGGCTTAAAAGATGAAAAAAACCATGGCAGCTATTACGTTGGGAATTTGTCAGAATTCTCCCAATAAAGTTTTACAGTTTTCTTCAGTGAAGCCTGACCTAACTTTTGTTTACAGGAATTTATTTCTAGGTATTTGATAACAATGAATTTTATTTTAATAATCTAAAAGTGCATTGAGCCAGGCATGGCACATACTAATCCCAGCACCCTGGGAGGCTGAGGCAGGAGGACCTTGTGAGTTCAAGGCCAGCCTGCACTGCATAGTGATGTGGCAGAGTTGTTCTGGATTGAAGGGGTTTTCTTTTTTTTTTTTGTCTTTTTCATTTTTATCGGTACCGGGGATCGAACTCACGACCACCTGCTTGCAAGGCAGGTGCTTATGCTGCTGAGCTAAACCCCCAGCCCCTGAAGGGGTTTTCTTACATAGCAGGAAGGTCTAGGCTTGGGTGAATGAGTAGAATCAATCATTCTGTCTTTAACTGAATCAATCTGTCTGTGAAGCAGGTTAGCACAAAATGTACTTTCTGGCTGGGTTACATCTGTCTTGCAAGTTGCAGCTGGTGCTTGGCATGGTTGCTCATGGTTCCTCCCCACTCCACACAACACTAAGCCCAGCCAGGAGCCTTCCTTCACACTCTGTATTCTTGGTTCTTTTTTGTTTTTATTTTTTGGTCTTTTTTGAGGCAGGATTTCATTATATGGTTCAGGCTGACCTTGAACTCATTATGTAGCCAGGCTGGCTTTGAACTTTGATCCTCCTGCCTCAGCCGCTTGAGTTGTAGTCTTGTTTCTTAATAGGGAGTCTACATTTAACATGGGTGGATGAATGATAGTGATGTTAATGAGAGGCTACTTAAGGAGAAAAGAGGCCTGTGGGAAGGCGAAAACTCAACGAGAGAGCACAGTTAATTTGTTAAACAGACTCTGCTGAAGGGGCAACACACCACCTCATCAAAGATGAAGTGTTCTGTCCTTACTACCTGCCTAATGTATGTCCCCAGATACAACTTGTTGCTCCTCCAGTGCAGGGAGGCATTTCATCTCCCACAGGTCTGGCACAACTAGTGCACAAGAGTAGGTGTTTAACAAAAGTTGATGTTTGCTGTAGCTTTCTAAAAGAGGTTGGGTTTTTTTCTTTTTGATACAGGGTTTAATTAAACAGCTCTGGTTGGCCTTAAACTCATAGAAATCCTCCTGCCTCAGCCCCCAGAGTGCTGGGATTACAGGTGTGGGCCACCACGCCCAGCCTACAGATGCACTTACATACTCACCACTCATTTGAGGAAATCAAACATAAATCCAGCTGTATCCCTCAGGCCAGCTCCCTCCCAGTCTGCATCGGTGACCGTGTACACGCTTACTGGAGTATCTGTTCCTGTACACAAAACAGCAGTGGCACCAGCACATTCTATACACTCCTCTGCCATGTACTTTGGTCAGCATTGTGTTTTTAAGATTTTTCCACGTTGAACCTCTTTGTTAAAGATTCCATTACAGCTGGGCATGGTGGTGCACACCTGTCACTCCAGCACTTGGGAGGCTGAGGCAGGAGGATTGCTCCGAGTTCAAGGCCAGCCTGGGCTATAAAGTGAGCTCAAGGCAAAGCCATTGCACAATCACACTGCAATTTATTGGCGCCTTCTAAAAAACGCACATGGCTTCCCTCCAGTCATACAGCACTGCAGTAAATCCTCAGGGCAGGGATGATAGCTATGCTGTTTTTTATGCAATCTGGATCCGAGGTTGGGGCGGCCGCTAGGGTGCGAGCTAGGAGGAGCTAGGAGGAGCAAAGGGCTCGCTTTCCGCTTTTTTCTTGTCTCGCTACGTCACCGTCACCGTGGGCGGGCCTCGTACGCGGCTCCGGGCTTGTACGCTTGGCGTCAGCGTCTGGACGGAAAGAGCTGAAAGTCCGGCCACCAACGAAGCGGAAGGAAGTGAAGCGGCACCGGAAGTGGCTGAGCTGTAGCGCGGCGCCAGTTGCCATGGAGCCGGCCGGGCCCTGCGGTTTTTGCCCGGCTGAAGAGGCCCAGCCAGCGCGGTACACCTGCCCTCGCTGCAATGTGCCCTACTGCTCCCTGCGCTGCTACCGGGCGCACGGCACCTGCGCCGAAGCCTTCTACCGGGACCAGGTGTTGGGTGAGCTCCGCGGACGCAGCGCCTCCCCCAGCCGCCTAGCAGGCGCCCTGCGCCGGCTGCGCCGCCAACGAGAGACCGAGGACATGCCTGGGGAGGCAGGCCTCAGCCCTGGTCCGGCGCCTGGCGCTGTCTCAGGACTCTGGGAACGGTTGACGCCGGCCGAGAAAGCAGCCTTCGAGCGATTGCTGAGCCGCGGGGAGGCGGGGCGGCTGCTGCCCCCGTGGCGGCCCTGGTGGTGGGGCCGCGGGATCGGGCAGCGGCTTCTGGAGGAGCTAGATGGCGGGGATCTTGCAGAGCCGGCGAAGGACGCCGCCGCCACCGAGGAGCCGGTTACCGGAGACCCGGCTCGTGCGCCGGCCGTACCCACCTGCATCCCCACGCTGACCAGCCTGAGCTCCGGCCCAGTCTCGCCGCTCGTGCGCTTCCAGCTGCCCAACGTGCTATTCGCCTACGCGCACACCCTAGCCCTCTACCACGGCGGGGACGACATGCTGCTGTCCGACTTCTGTTCCACGCTGCTCGGCGTCTCCGGAGCGCTGGGCGCCCAGCAAGTCTTCACCTCCTCGGAGGAAGCCCTACAGGCCGCAGCCCACGTGCTGGAAGCGGGTGAGCACCCTCCAGGGCCTCTGGGCACACGGGGTGCGATGCAGGAGGCCGCCCGAATTCTGCAGGGCGAAGGTCCGGCCGACCGAAAAGGCTACACGCTGGCATCGCTGGGGCACCTAGTACAGACCCTGGGCCGGGCCCGCAAACAGGCTGTGCCTGGGGAAGAGCGAGAGCGCCTGTACCGGGCCCGGAAGAAGTGCCAGTTCCTACTGGCCTGGACCAACGAAAATGAGGCGGCCCTTGTGCCCCTGGCCCTAGACTGCACCATGGCCCATCGAGCCCATGCTGTGGCAGCCGAGGAGGTGGCAGCCCTCACTGGGGAGCTGGAACGGCTTTGGGGAGGCCCTGTGCCACCTGCCCCAAAGACTCTCATTGAGGAGCTTCCTGGCTGAGGGGGGACCTTGGCATTAATAAAGCTGTGACTGGTTTGCCCACTGGCTGGCAGTGCCTGTATCTGATACCTGTTGTCCCCAACAACCCAGATTCTTGGGAACCACATGCTTCCTCTCAGTGTCTCCCTTCTCAGAGCTGACCCTGCTGGTCAGTAACGCAATGTCCCCAGAGTGAGAGAAAAGTGTGCTATGGGTTCTGGACATTTATGCAAAGGAGGACAGTGGTCCCCAACACCTCTTCTGTGAGCCTGATCCAACTCAGGGCAGGGTGGGGTGCAGGCCTGGAGTCCCCATGTGTCCTGGCTTCCTGGCCCCTGCTCAGTAGATGTAGGGCACGATGCGGTAGGGCACACGCTGGCAGTATGCATGCCAGGCCCGGCCGTACTTCTGCAGGCAGTGCAGCTCGTCTCGAGCCTCTCGGTGCACCAGCAGCACGATGAAGTAGAGGAAGTAGAAGTAGGGGAGCAGGTGGGATGTCCCTGTAGAGAACAGGGCTCTGTGACCACTCCACCAGCATCTCAGGTCATGGGTTCCCACACCAGTGACTCACAAGGTGTGAGACTGCCATACAAGGACCAGGTCCATAGAGGCCCCCAGTACTCACTGGCAGTGGGCCCTGCCCAGCTGCCCACCATGCCCCTCCCCAGGTGCTGACAGGCACTCCCAGGCATCCTGTCTGTCACCATCCATGCCACTTACCACAGGGCAAGGACCAGGCTAGGGCCATGATGAGGTCCCCCAGGTAGTTAGGATGGCGGACCATACCCCACCACCCAGACACCAGCAGCCTCTTCCCCGTGGCTGTAGGGATGGTCTCAAGGCCTAGGGGAAAAAAGTGCAAAGGGGAACCCCAGAAAGCTCTGCTGCCCCACCTGTGCCACAGCCCCCAAGAGACCCAGCTCACCAGCCACACTGGGATCGGAAGGATTCTTTCGGAAAGTGTTTTTCTGGGAATTGGCCCCACGGAAGATGTAGTAACCAGCAGCTGGGGGAGGCAGGAGCAGGGGCTCAGGGTGGAGGCTGTAGCCACTTGCCTGCTCAGCATCCAGCAGCATATCCACGGCCCAGACTGCCTGGACACCCAGCAGCCTTGGCCCCAGCTTTAGACCAGCACCTGCGCTTAGCGCCTGCCCACTGCATGCTGAGTAGCAGGTGAGTGAATGATGGGGGAGAAGCAGCGCTGGGCTCAGCTTGCTGCCCTTACTGACTGACCATTGATGAGGCAGATGAGCAAGGCCCTGGGCAACCCCAGGGGCTGCGGGTGGTACAGCAGGAAGTGAGCCTGTAGGCTGTAGGTGAAGGGCACCCAGACCAGGTCACCAAACGCTAGCATGAAGCCGAAGCCTTCATGGGTGATGTCCATGGTGGTGAGCACAGCCTCCTGCAGGAACCCACCCCAATGCACTTGCTGAGTACTGACAAAGTCCACTGAGTCCCTCCCTGCCCCCTGCCCGGTCCAGCCTCACCTCATACCAGAGGGCATCTCCCACATAGAGTAGCTGGAAGCCGTTGACCAGCCACATGGCCAGGGAAGGGCTCCCCCGAAGCTCTGCCTCCCGTAGGAGCAGAGCCAGGTTGATGAGGACCTGAGGAGGTGGGGGAGGGGAACAGGGCTGTGGTCTCCACAGAAGTGGCAAATCCTAGATGGGGCAGTGCAGCCTCTGCTTCGGCTGTCATTGTTAGCCGCTCTCTAGCCCAGGCCCTGTACCCAGACTGTGAGCGCAGCTTCAGGTTAAAACTGCTGCTTTTGAATCTGAGTTTTGCTGCTTGGGCAGGCTGCTTGCTTCTTCCTCCTAAGGAAAACGGGTGTACAAATCATGGACCTGCCTCATGGTGATGTGGTTTTATTGTTTGTTTCTTTGAGCCAGGGCTTCACCGTGTAGTCCAAATTGGCCTTGAACTCACTACGGATTCCAGGCTGTCCTCGAACTTGTGGCCATCCTCCTGCCTCAGCCTCCTGACTGCTGGGATCACAGGCATGCACCACCACACCTGGATTCATGGTGGGCTTTGAAGACTCCAACATATATGTGAAAGTAGGACTCCCAGGTGTCAGGCCTGAGGTGGGAGTCACCTGAGTCTTCATATAGAGAAGGAAGCACTCTAATTTAGGTAGTCAGGCAAGGTGTTGCTACTATGGTTCTAATTCTTACAATAATCTTGGAAAAAAGCTTTCATTTTATCCCATTTCATGAAGGCAGCAATAGCCCAGAGACTGACATGCCTGTAGGCAAGTCACAATCCAGATCCATAATGAAGTCAGGTGCCTGACACATATCTATAATCCTGACTATTTAGGAGGCTGAGGCAGGAGGAGCACAAGTTTGAGCCAAATCGGGACAACTTAGTGAGATCCTATTTCAAAATTGAGGGTGGGGGACAGTAATCAGGAATTGAACTCAGGACCTCACACTTGCCAGGCAGGTGTTATACTACTGAGCCCCTTGTCTCAAAATTTATAGAAGGGTGGGGGAGGTAGCTGAGTGTAAATGCCATAAATTCAATCCTCAGTACCCCCCACCCTTCAAGAAAATATTTGTGGCGGGACCTTGGCAGGCTTGCTCATAGTGATATGATTTCCCAGGCAGCACGAGGAACTTGTCCCAAGTGCCTTTGGTAACCAATATGGCGTGGGTGTTCACAACCAAGGAACACAGCTGGAATATTGTCAAGGCCACCAGCGACAGGTTGCTAAACCTTTCAGTCAGCAGTTCTGCACTGGCTTGACTGTCAAGCTGCGGTGCCCACCATTCCCGAAACAGATTTCGTGCTTGACTGCTGAATGGGGAGCTACACGTGCTGCCCCAGCAGTCCCCAGCTTTGCTTCTGCCCATGCTCCTCGGCACCCCTGACATGCTATGTGCAAGTGTTTGTCTCTGCCACGTCGAGGGTAGAATCCAGGGCCTCCCGCACACTAGACAAGCGCTCGACCACTGGGCCACTGCATATGCAGCCACACTCTGTGTCATTTATGGATGTTAGAGGGAAGGCTTTGTAAAGCAGATAGTTTCCCCTCTTATCTTGCAGGACTAGAGCAATGTTGGGTGCATGGTGGATCCATGCACTTGAGGAACAAGGCACCCTGCCCCTCTCCTGCCCCAGGCCAGCCCACTCGAGCCCAGCATACCCAGCCGATGAGGCCAGGCCTCAGCTCGAAGAAATATTTGAAGTCAAAAGAACCAATTCGAGGGTTCAGCTCCCGTCCCATGAAAAAGTCGTATAAGAGGTTACCTGGAGAGTAACAAAGGGCGAAGTCTCAGCTAGGCAGCCCCATCTGCCTCCATCCCCACCCCACTGGGCCCCATCTCACCTGAGTTCCCCCTAGGTGCCAGGCCTGAGGTGGGGGTCACCTGAGCCTTCATATAGAGAAGGACGCTGAAGATGAAAGTGGTGAGGGTGGCCACGGACGCCAAGGGCAGCAGCATCTCTGCGAGAGCCCCCAGGGGAAGCCCCCCGGACACCCCCAGCCCCACCAACAGGACGGTCAGCATCAGGGCCTGAAAGCCTGAACAGCAACACAGTGAGTCCTGGGCTGGGGCTCTCCCAACCCCTCAGAAACACAAGACACAGAGCCAGGCGTGATGCAAGTTTGAGACCAGCCTAGTCTACAAAGTGAGCTCAAGACCAGCCTGAACTGCATAACAACACCTTGTCTCAGAAAGACAAAAACAAAAACAAACAAACAGAAAACACACAAGACACACGTGGAGCACAAAGCTCATGGGTGTCACAAACCCTAAGCCACTAGGCTGCCACCATGGCCTTTAGAGGGCCACTCCAGCAACTGGGATAGTGTACTACAGAGCAGTAGAAAATGAGGTAGTGGTGTGGGAACAAAGGGTGTGAGACCCCTCTGGTGTCTATTTTGGCTGCAAAGGAGGCACATAAGGGAACTTGGGGTTGGGGCCAACCTCTGTGACCTCCGGCTAGATGTGAACCCCACCATCACCAGCACCACTCCAACCCAAGGGCCCATCCCCTAGGCACCGTTAATAGGATAGCGCAGGCGACTCTTGTCCTTCAACTCCAACCCCTCCGCCACCTGCGAGTGCAAAGAGGACCTGAGAAGGGTTGGGGCGCCTTCTCTCACGCTGGATCCCCTCCCCCTCGCCTGGGAAAGGAGCCCACACCTTGCGCGCCGGCAGCAGGTAGAGCGCCGCCTGCAGGCCGAGCCAGGTGAGTAACAGCAGCAGCACCCGAGGACTCCACAGCTCGGAGAGCCCGGGCAGGTGCGCGGGTGGGCCGAGGAGGCGAGCCGGGCCGGAGCGGACCGCCAGGAGCAGGTGCAGCGTGGTGGCCGGCAACAGCAGCATGAGTGCCGCGGCGCCTGCGGAGGGACCGCGGCGCTTAGGGCGCCCCGCTGCTGCCCACCTCGGTTTCCCTTCGAAGCCCCCGTGCGCCCCGCTTCCCTGCGACCTCTTCCCAGCTGCAGACACTACTGCTCACCGCCAAGCCCTCTGCTTTCTCCACAGCCTTCCACCCGCAGATCCTGCGCCATCCGCGACCCTAGTTCATCCCGTTCAGCTTTCTTCATTCTGCCTCTGCCCCCAAGTACCCCCTCTCTGCTCCATTACCCAGGGGGCCCCCGAATTCCTGTGGGGCCTGGAGGCCCTGTGGAGAGGCCATGGTCTCTGGTTTGCTGGGGTTGGAGCTCAGTCGGTCAAAGAAACATGGCCCGATACATGCCGGAGAGGAACCTGTCCACAGACTGGGCTGGACAGCCAAGCTCTTGTCCCCATGGCCACGCCCCCTACTCATCCTGGCCCCATCGCACCAGCCAATGAACAGCGAGGGCGGGCCCTATGCAGACACCAATATAGCCCATCTCTAAGCCCAACCCCGCAAGCTCCGCCCCCAGCGAAAGGTTGGGAGACCGCACATTGTTTATTTAGGCGGGTCTGAGGAAGACACTAGGGGAGCCAGGGCACGGGCGAACGGGGCACTACGGGACATCTGGGACATCTGCTGAGCCTAGCCGCGCTCGCAGATGACCTCGACGACACTGGGTTCCATGGGCACCGGGTCCGGACAGCGCAGGGCTGCTGAGGCCACCACTTCATCCAGCAGCAGGTGCACGAGCTCCTCGTCGGCCACAAAGCGCCATAGGTAGAGCTGCAGGAAGTGGCAGTCCACTTGCACCTGCTGCAGCCCGAAACGCCCAAAGGTGCGCAGCCGCACACACTCCAGCAGCGTCTTTAGGCTGATCTTAATGATGCCAGTGAGCACCGACACCTGCGGGCAGGGACACAGGGATGTAGCTGGTGGACTGCTGTTGGGGGGGCGACCAACTTCTACACTGAGGCAGAGAGACCTAAGGTGGGGGCAGACGGGCTAAGACAGAAAGACCCAGGGCTCAGGTAAGGGGCGGGGATATGAAATACCACCATCTGGAATGGAGGACAGGGCCAACCCAGCAGGCACAGGCTAGAATTAGCAGAGTATGTCGAGGAGGCGGTACTGAGAAACCCAGTCACTGCATGTGCGCTGGGCTGGGGCCCAAACTGCGGTAACTATGAAGCCCTCCGGAGGCCCCGCAGCCCCAGGGCGTCCATGCCAACCCCCCGGGTCCCCTGGAGTCTGGGTCACGCGGAACTTCAGACCTTGTTGAACTCCACGGGGCTGAACACATCGATGCGTTCCGAGAACAGCTTCTGGATGTTGCTCAAAAGGTTGGTGTCCATGGGGGCACTGAGGGAAGAGACGCAGTCACAGCCCGCCCTGCACTGTGCTCTTCTGCCCATCCTCCCGGAGGCCCCCTACCAGGCAGACCTGGGTGTGTAGCTGGGTGCATAGCGGCCCTGCTGCCTAGAGCTACTGTACACGGAGAAGGTCCTCTTGCTGGAGTCACTGCTCTGAGCCTTGCGAACACCCTCTTCGTACAGGAGCCCCACCTGGAGGCGGAAGCACGCACTGCATGGAGGCCAAGCATGGGATCCCTCCAGCCTATTAGGTACTGGGGACCCGGGAGGATGCAGTTAACTGCAGAACAGAGTCAGTGGAGTGGGGCAAAGGCAGGCACAAGGTCCTGGGACTCAAACTTTAGGACTAGGCCTGCTTGACTTTCTGACTGTCTAGGTGAAACGGGTGACAATACCATAATCTGGGGCAATGAGGAACAAGGCCGGAGGGAAGCCACAACCTGGCCCATGTCTCAGTCCTCAGAAGGCGGACCCCCCCACAGGGCTCCACCCATAGCAGCACCTGTACATCAATGGCCGTGGTGTCCTCCACAACCCGCTTCATGACGGCACGCACGTTGCGGGGCTCAAGGGTACTGAGCCAGTCCCGAGTCTCCACACTCTTGCGCAGCATCTGTGATATGACCAGGCCCTGCACTTTCACGTAGTGGGTCAGTAGCCGCCGTGCCGTGTCCCTGGCCTCTGCACACAGTGTGCTCACGGGTGTCACCGGAGACTGGTCCTGAGCCAGGGAGGCAGAGGACAGAGGCAGTGGATATGGGAGCTGTAAGCTGGCAGCTGCCAACCTGGAGTTGGCCAAGGTAGAGGTTGGATGGGCACTGATGGCCGGTCTGGGTTCAGCCACAGGGCCCATCTGGCCTCCTGTGTTCTCAGCACCTCCACCCCTACTCTCCTAGAGCCAGCATTTCACCTGCACCAGAAACTGCTCATCGGTGAGGGTGAGGATATAGGAGATGGTGGCGGTCTCATAGTCCAGGCAGAGGCGAGAGAGGAGTAGGAGCAGGGCAGGGGGTGTGGCACCTCCCTTCTCCCCTGGGCTGTCACAGAAGCTCTGGGCTGTCTGGCACATGGAGCGGATGAAGCCCACGATGAGGCCCTCTCGGACTCCCTGGCTGCAGAACTCACCCTGTGAAGAGGGAAGGGCCACATATATAGGCAGCCTCCTCTTCTAGACAGGTCCTGCTCCAAGGCAGAGCTTTAATCCAAGTACCAAGGGCAGCTTCCCTGCTTGGCCCACGCAAGGTTGGCAGCCCCTGGGGACCCTGCCACCCTCCTTTTAGCACAGCTGTAGGTGGCTGCAGTCTTTCAGCCCTCCTGATTATGCCTCCTGAGAACCTAAATACACATCCACAGTCCCTGGGGCCAGGACTGGGGCGCTCCTGCAGCTCCTGCAGTTTCCGGAGCACCAGTAAAGGGTAGTGGTATGGGGCCAACCAGCAGGATGAATAACCATAGGACCAAGGGCAGACTGTACCCGGAAGTAGGGCTTGTTGGAGAAGGACACCTCCTTGGCGGTGAAGAGGTGAACAGCAGCCAGAGAGGCCTTGATGTGGCTAAGGATGGAGCTAGCCACATTGGCCAGCAAGTCGGCCAGGCTGGGGCCCTCCTTCCCAGCCAGGCGGGGAGCAGCAAGTGCCTGGCGTACATCGGTCAGACAACCCAGAAAGGCTGCCTGCAGGCCCTGCAGGTGATGGCCCAGCCGCTCTCGGGCCACTCGCTCCACAATCTCTGTAGCTGACTCGGTGAGCCCGGCAGCAGCCAGCGGGGCCCCAGGTGCTCGCAAGCGCCGGTGGAAGCGATCCAGTGCCCGCACGAGCAGGGAGTTGTCACCGCCACCCTGCTCCTGTGCCAGCCTCCGCTCCACCAGCTCAAAGTAGTGACTGCCCAGCTCCCGGGCAAAGGCCGCCAGCTTCTCTGCACCTGTGGGGCCCTGGGCTGCAAACAACTCTTGGTAGGCTGCTGCCACCTGGCAGAGGCCACCCACAAAGCCACTGCCACCCCGGTCTGTGAACTCTAACACGTCAGGTGCAGGGGGAGAAGGCCCCAGCTCCCTCTCCAGGGCACGCAGCTCCTCCTCCAGCCGCCCCCGGGCGTGCGCCAGGAATTCCTCGCACAGCTCCTCTGCAGGCTCGCCCAGCGCCAGCAGCAGCTCCACGCACTCAGCCTGCTCGGGGGCTCCAGAGCCGCCCTCCCTGTGGCGTCAGGGAGGAAAGGAAAGTAAGGCAACAGCTCCCGACAGCCTGGTAGCCTGGCGTGGGCACTGAAGGGCCATACCTGAAGCGCTGCCGCAGCTGCTGCGCAAGGCGGGCCATGATGACTTGGCAGTCGTCCTGGATGGCGCGGAAGGAGGGCAGGTGCTGATACTGCTGCAGCACGGCCCGCGCGCGGCCCTGGTAGTGCACTGCCTGCCTGTAGGCGCCCAGCTCCACACATTTGGTGAGGCGTGAGGGCAGCTCGAAGAGGAACTGCAGCTTCCGCAGCAGTGCGTGCACCCCTGGGGAACGGGGATGGGGGCAAAGGGCCATCAGCCCAGTGTTCAGGGTCCCGCCGGCGGAGGTGCTGCGTGGGAGGGCGCCCACCTGCCAGCTTGGTGATGCGCTCGTGGCGGTCCTGCAGCGTGGCACTGATGCGCGCGCTGAAGTCGGTAATCACAGCCATGTTGTTGGCCAGCCGGTCCATCTCGTCCTCCATCTTGCGGAAATCGTTCTTCATCTTCCGGATGGTGTCTGGGAGAGGAAGGGCCCAGGGGTAATGGGGAGGTAGTGCTGCCCTCGGCTCCTCAACATGAGCAGGGCCATGGCTCTCGTGAAAAGGCTGAGTCCCGGCACGTTGTGGGAGGGGTCCCTCTGTCAGTGTGGAGGGCTTTTGTACACACACCTCCCGTGTGCCCCAGCGTTGGTGTCCAGGGGAGCGGAAGGGACGGGGACCCCAGGGGGCTCTGCACTCAGGGGGTGTCTGTATCTCAGGGAGGGCCGCACCCCACACTTAACACAGCGGCTTAGCTTTCCTCTCATTGTGGGGTTAGAAGCAGCTGGGCAGAGGTTGGGCCCATCTGCCCATGCTCAGAGGAGCCCTCCTCGCCCAGCACAGGAGACAGAATACAATTCACCTTTTTTTTGAGAGCACCTTGCTATGTAGACCCAGCTGGCTTCAAACTTATGGTGATCCTCCTGCCTCAGCCTCGGGAGTGCTGGGGTTACAGGTGTGAGCCACAGCTGGCTCATGCTCACCTTTACCTTCTTCAGACCCCCACCCCCTCGGCAATGCTGTCTGTCCTCTCTGAGGGAGCATTACCATTTTGTCCTGCTGGAAATCTCCCGCAAGGTCTTTTATGCTTTTACATTCAAGGTGGCGCAGGGCCTGGCACTTACAGCTTCCAGTGCCCGAACTGCAACCCGAAACCCACTTACTTATCACAAAGCCCAAACTGCAATTACACCTAGACACTGAGTTTTAGTTTACAAAAAGACAACACATCCATTAACATCTTTTGTCTTAAAGAACAAGCGTGCCATAGGTTCACCATCACTGTTCTAGGTCCTTCCCATCCAGCTCTCTTTAAAACCCTACTTCTTAGCTGCTCATGATGGTACATGCCTATAACCCTATCACTCTGGGAGGCCGAGGCAGGTAGATCTCAGGTTCAAGTCCAGTGTGAACAACTGTGATTTAGCTAGACCCTGTCTCAAAACAAAAAATAAAGGGCTGGGGAAACAACTCAGTGTGAAGGCCTCGGGTTCAATTTCTGGTGCCACCAAAAAAACACAAAAGCCACTTCTTTGAAGACCTCTCATCACACTACCCCCTTCTTCTTTTTTTTTTTTTTTTTTTTTTTGTCTTTTTGAGACAGAGTCTCTATGCAGGTCAGGCTGGCCTTGAACTCACTTTGTAGCCCAGGCTGGTCTCGAACTTGCAACCGTCCTCCTGCCTCAGCCTCCGAAGTGTTGGGATTACAGGTGTGATCCACCACGCCTGCCTAAATAACTTTTTTTTTAAAATCAGTACGAGGGATGGAACTCAAGACTGTGCACTTGCAAGGCAGCGTTTATGCCGCTGAGC